TGCACCAACAATAACAAATACGCACCCTAGAACACAAACTCTAATGTCTTCAGGGTTCTGTTTATATAAACTTGAGAACTGAATGAGTGGTGGTTACTAACAGCACTGCAATGAATTTTTTTAAAAATGTCATTAGTCAAACAAAACACATCTGGAGAACTAATTTTGCTTGAGAGCCATCAATGTGCAACTATTGATCTGTATATTAATTCTAAAAGTTAAAAAATGCAATAGTGTTTATAATGTTATATTATATGTAAAGTGTAAACAGTTTTTATGGCAGAGTGAATTAATGTTTAAAAAATTCTCCAGGATCCCTGTTATGACTACCGCAGCACTCAGAGAGAATGTTCTTGGTATCCAGTTGCAAAAATTCTCCCCCTACTCTCCATCCATTGCTCAGAATCCAGGAACATTGTAGTTCACTGCATACTTGAACACATTGTACTCTGAATGGCAGATATTGTTGCCTACCCAACTGCCATTTCCTCACTCTTCCTTGCTAGGATTCTTTTTGTTTACTTTGATTGTTGTCATTGATTTTGCAATTATTTAAAAATTTCTTGTAATGTCTTCTAATCTATTTGTATTGTTACAAAAGGGAGGAAGGAGTTTGAACGTTGATCAGGAGCTCTGTGAATGCTGGCAGAACTTAGCAACCACACTAGCAAAAAGACCAGTTCACTTTAACTGGAAGGAAGCTTTCTGCTATTATGTTGGATCCTAAATAGACCAAAAGACTCTATTATTGGGTACTGATATCCACACAAGCTACTCTTATTAGTACATTAGATAGTTCATTTAAGAGTTTAGATAAGAATTGATTAGATAGTTTATTAAATAGTTTAAGACCCCACCTTAATTTTTATTTTATTTACTTATTCATTTCTTAATTAATTTAATTTTATTCATTCATATTTTCATTTTATCTGTTAATTTTGTAGCAGACATAGAAGGATATAGGAAACCTTTGATTTCCATAATTAGACCTTCAATAAATCACACATTTTCAGACCTACTCTTATGTTCCATTGTACCTGCTGCCCAAGTCAAGAGCTTCTTTGGAGTTCTATTCTGCAGGCTGGCTTTTCCCCTTCATTAATTAATAATATTCTGTCTCCTTTTTGTTCTACAGGAATTTTCTGTATACTAATGGCCTCTTTCTATTTTTTTGTGGATTTAAGCCTTTAAAAAAAATCCATTACTGTTATCTTAGTGGTTTCACAGAAAGGGATTGATATGAATACATGTGCTTAATTAGCACATAATATTAAACCTGAAGTCTCTACATAACTTCTTTTTAATAGCTGTATAGCAATAAGTGTTTTTCAATCTTTTTCATTTCATGGCACAATAAACTAATTACTAAAATTATGCAGCATACCAAAAATATATTTTTTGCAGATCTGAAAAAAGGGTATAATTTTTATTGATTTTTTAAAAAAAGTAATTACCTACCCTTTTTGTTCTATAGTAACTTTAAAAAAAACCCCAAAAACCTGGTGCCTATACTTGTATATAAGCATTTCTGGTACAAGAATTAACTAATCAGATGCAATCTTATTATGTGACATGACTAATAAGATGCAACTCTATTATCGATATATGATCTATATATTTATGTCTCAGGACAGGGCATTAACACTGGGCAGCTATTGTTGTGCTGATGTCATTTACTTTATTTGATAGTCTAAGGGAAAAGAGGTCAGTGCCACTGACTAAATAGTCAGATATTACATGTTTTAAAAATTCTTGCTGCACACAGGTTGAAAATTGCTGGTATAGATGTTTTCTTATATATTAATTTGTCTTCTACTGATTAACAATAAAATTTTTGATTCCAAATACTGCTGTTATGAACATTTTTTGACATAGCTCTATGCACATACATATTTGTAGAATAAATTTCTGGAGGCAAAGTGATGGATTGAAAGTTTTTGGAAAGTTTCTCTTTGGACTGTGTGTGTGTAAAGTGATATTGCATAGTGTTAAAAGCATGAACTCTGGGGCCAGGTTGCCTGTGCTCATAATCCTGGTTCTCTTCCTCACCATTGCTGTGACCTTGGGCAAGTTACTTAAGTTTCTGTGTCTTGTTTTTCTAATGAGTAAAAATGAGAATTAATAATATCACCTTTCTCCTAGGGTTGTGCAGATTAAATGAGTCAATTTGCTGAGATTCATGCCTGATAATAAACACTCAATAACTATTATTTGCTAATGTTATTATTCTAGGTGAGACTTAGCAACCACACTAGCAAAAAAGAGGCCACTGTAAATAAATAAACAAACAAACAAACAAACAAACAAATAAATAAATAACAATGAAAAATAAAAGGAAAAGAAGAGAAAGAAAGAAAGAAAAAAGACTTACAACTGCACTAGTGAAAACACACACAAAAACGAGGAGTCACATTTATGGTGGGCTGGAGCAGCACTCTGGTAAATGCCTCTGGCATGACCTTTAGTGGAGATAAGGTAAAACCCACAAAGAAGAGAGATACAGCTGAGCTGAGGGAGGGGCTTGGAGCTTTCTTACCCAATAGTCTACCAAATGTGGTCACTTGAGAGTGGCATTGTTAACTGCCGTCCCTTTAGTTTAGGGGTGTCGAACTCAATCAGAGAAGGGGCCAAAATCTAAAATCCAGCCTAAATCGTGGGCCGAATGGTTTACTGAACAGTCATAAACTGTCATTGTTATGGAAACACAGCGGAGTGCAGTGATGACAGCGCGGTGCGGGCCACATTGCAAGGCCTGGCGGGACGGATTTGGCTCGGGGGCCTTGTGTTTGACACATGTGCTTTAGTTTGATACATAGTTGAGTGAATAAGTGAGTGAATTAATGAAAACAGGCTTAAGAATTATTTTTCTTCTCTTAAATTCCTTCCTAGCATCCTTAACTCTTCAATAAAATCTTATTACAGCATAGCCTTACTGTAAGCATGTTTGGGAGGGAGGGGACATGGGAGAAGGCAAAAGTGAGAGAAGCATCATGGAGTCTGAGGTCACAGAAGCAACTAGGGCTGAAAAGAGGCAAATACAATTTCTAGGGCTCCCTAGGAACACTTGTGCTAAACGCCTGGACTTCCTGCTGCCCTATAGGTCTGCTCATACTTGGGTATTAAAAGGAGAATGATTGCCGAAACTGGTTTGGCTCAATGGATAGAGCGTCGGCTTGGGGACTAAAGGGTCCCGGGCTCGATTCCTGTCAAGGGCATGAACCTTGGTTGCGGGCATATCCCCAGCAGAGGGTGTGCAAGAGGCAGCTGATCGATGACCCTCTCTCATCGATGTTTCTAACTATCTCTCTCCATTCCTGTCTGTACAAAATCAATAAAATATATTTTAAAAAAAGGAGAATGATTTTTTCAATACTGGAAATTCCGGTAGCACATTGGCTGCTACACGGTATCCTCTAAGTAAGTGACAGCTTTTAATACATTATTTCTAAATTTTGGTAAAGAATAAAATAAAGCCTGCATTTGATGCTGTATTTACTCTTTATCAAGTCATGTGTGACTTCTTGTGTAATGGATATAACAGCCTATTCAAAACATATAAGTACAGATGTTATGTTGATAAGATGATTTCCAGACTCAAAGACCAGATAGGGTAGGAGGGATCTTGGGCTTTTAACTGGTCCTCCTCAGTAGCTTAACCTTGCTTCCTGAAATTCCAAAGAATCGGTTGCTGCATCTGTAACACAGGATTTAGTGCTATAATATCTACCACCTGTCTGGGCTTAAGAGCACATTAAAAAAAAAATTAAATTCTTTACTGTTGAAAGCATTACATATGTCTCCTTTATCCTCCATTGACCTCTCCCTAGGCCGCCCCTTCCCCCTCCCAGCACTTGTCCCTGTCCCCTACTGTCGGTTAAGAGCACATCTTGATATTAAATTAAAAGAGAGAGCAACCAAGAAAATTAGAATGAGTAATATTCCCTGAAATCTTGACCTAAAAGTCACTATAAATGGTAAAATCATTATAGTATTGTATTTCTCTAATATTCCTAGCAGATGCTTGGCTCAGGAGAAAAAAAAATACCCATTTTGAGCACTGTCTTAGAATATGGCTATAATTATTATTTTTCACCATTCACATATTAATGTGTTGAAAAGTAGAAGACGTATGTTCAAAAAGGTGTTATTTTCGGAAATTAATACATACAGTAGGTGAACAGAACACACATTCACACATACATAATACCTGTGTTAATTGTTTATGGGCCCATTTTATTTGTGTTTTTCTTTTGGTGTTGAAAATTAATCAAGGACTCAGCATGATAGTACAAAAGCAAGTTAACAAAGACATATTATAGTTTACCAGGAGGGGCAATTGTGGATCCTGAACCCAGAAAGTTTGAGGCAAAGATGCAGGAAAGATCCAGAAAAGTCCTTGTGACATCAAGTCCAAATTTGGATCTCTCCAGACAAAAGATTCAAGTCTGCCTCCCATTTTAATAATGAAATAGCTGCCAAGGTCAAGGATCCTCTTGGGGGGGTCTTCATTTGTGATAGATATCTGGGTGGGGTTGTTTTGTTTGGAGGAATAAATATTTGAAGTGGGTAACTGAAGAAGGTTATGCGGCTGTTATGATGTTATTGATACACAGGCTGACGCTATTATAGCGGATACTATCAGGCTACATTATCTTTATGCCTCCGAGGTAACCTGAAGCAACTGTCTATTGACTTGGCACTGCCTTGCACTGAAGCGTTTGCCCTGCCTGGGGACTGTAACCTGAGCCAACCACGTACCTCACAGACAGCTTTCTTTGGCAAAATCGTCCAGGAGGAGCGCTTTCGCAGGGCAACGGCCGCTGAGTGACTCTCAGGGAGGGTGGCCTTGCCATATTCTAATCTATTTAAGGGCAACTACTACAAAGTCCTTCTCTTCAGGCAAGGAAATAGTTATTTACAATAAGGAGACTGGAGGTGATCTGAACCCTTGGAACTTTTTCTTTTCAAAGAATGAACTTTGTCATGTTTCACTGCAGGTTATGTCCACATGGAAAGCAAGGTTCGCCAAAAGACTGAAATCTTCATCTATCAATAGAAGGATGCATCCATTTCCATGTTCAGCTCTGCTGGCCTGTTTTGGGAAATCTAGGGAGAATGCTCCCTGTGATCAGCCCATAGCGCCTGATACTCATTCCACCATCTATGATCAGCCCATGATCGAAGCATGTCGACACTCAAGTCACCTGAAAGGGGAAGAAGAGAAAAGGCGAGGTTCCAGCACCCATTTAGACAGAAATGGCAATGCAAATCGGAATTCAAGTAACCACACTGCTGTCCAGCCTGCTGAGATCTCTGCGGATATGCCCGGGTCTCCAGATGGCGATTTGGAAGGTGAAGTAGTTACTTTTCAGACTTCTATCCCCAGACCATCAGTTATTGAAATGCCAATGGTGAGTATTCCCAATGATGTTATAGAAGGAATGGCTTTGGAGGAGAGTTCTGATAATTTGGTGAATGCTTTCAGTGAACAAAGTTGTTTAACATTATAAGTAAATAAGACATTGAGCGGGAACTCTTATTAGTGAGAGGAAGTGTGTAAAGCCTCATAAAGTTCTCACAGGATGTGAAGGGAGGCAAGGACAATAAGCACTGGGGCCTTAGCAATCACCAATTTTGACCTTTATTTAACTACCCATGGTGCTTCAGAGCCGACAGTGTCTCAATAAAATATTAGGGGTAATATCATCTGGAAAAGCTTTTATTAAAAAAAAAACTGGCCTGTGAATTTATATGAAAATGAACACTGTGCGAATTGGATTATAGAATTTAAGAATTTGCTCTATTTAAAATAAATCGGGTGATATCAAAGCAATCTGGGAAAATTTGGAAATGATGATCATTCAGTGTATAAAGAGCAATAAACAAAGGAACTGACTGATGCAACTATTCATAATATGAATGTTTCTGTGATTGTTTTCTGAGACTTAAAGGCAGGAGAAAGAAGTTGTTTGGAAAATATAGTTCTGCTACTTTTATAAGGCAGCATCTTGAGTTATTTACCTTTTTTCTTTTTTTGGCATTACTGAATTTTAATTGTTAAATATTCTGATTGGATTGAGTTACACAATCATTTCAAAGTTCTTGGTAATCCAATTTAGGAAGGCAGAGTTTCTTAAATGATGTTTTTTCCAAATACCAAGTACCTCTTGAGCAATTTTTGGTCATAGTCCTGGCAAAAAAACTTAGGACTAGACTTATATAACTGAGAAGTCTTTGAGGATCCATTACTAAAATATTATAATGGAAAATAATACTTTTCATTATCAAATCATTTTTGTTTAACTTGCTGACTTGAATCCAAGAAGCCTCATTAGCAATGGAAACTGCCAAACAATGAAGACAGGGTTAAAACATAATTTGAGAAACAGTTTCATTTGACAGTCTACAAGCTTATATAAAAGGATTAAATAAACCTTTTAATTAAGAGAATTTCACCAAGCCCTTTGTTATAGCAAGAACTGTAGTATTTTTTCTAGAACCACTCAAAAATGTGTTCAGTTTTCTCTTTAAGTTATTTTTGTAGTATTCTAGTTAGCTAAGTGGAGGTCAAGGCCAAGTTTATATTTCTTGCATGTTAAATGAACTAATGATGTACAGTTTTAATGAACTGAATGAAGACTTTCTGTTGGGTAAACATTCTAGCAACTCAGGACCTACCTTTCATTGCAAAGTACAGCAACAACAACAGAGAGTTGATTTGATTTTATCTTTGTTTTAGGGGCATATGTGATACAGGGCCTCAGAGTAAATACGTGTACTCAAATATAACCAATTAAACATAGCAAGGTAACATGCATATTAATTACCTATTTGGCATGAGCAAAGCCATGAATAGATGACAGTTTAGAAAAGTCTTATGACAGAAGTAGCCCTAAGGTAAGGCTAAATAGAAGTGTCCCAAAGAGAGACACATAAATGGTTTTAAGGAGGTTAGAGGCTCTGAAAGGTACATTGTAAAGAAAGTGGAATTTGAGATTTGTCTAGAGAGAAGGTTAGGATTTTTAAAGGCAGAGATGAAGGGAGGACATTTCAATAAAAGAAAATTGTATGAACAAAATCCTGGATGTAGGGTATGTAGTATAGCAATATGTACATTAGATTGGCTAGATTGGAAAAATACTGGGAAAGGTAGATTGAGACCCAAAGTCTTGAGTGCTGTAGTGAAAAGTTAATTCATTTGGCAGTGGCGACACTGAGAATTTTGAACAGAAAAACATCATGCTTGGGATTTCATTCTGGGAAGATAAAAAGGTAGAGCCATGTAGGTTGGATTAGAGTTGGGAACATTGGAGCTAGGAAGCCACTGAAATAAACTCAGCCTGAGGAGTTACAAAAAGAAATAGTAGGAGGGTGAGATAGGAGGGGATAAAGGGACCCATGCAGTAGCATATGCAGCAGTTGACTCTGGGATATAGACTTGATAGAGAGGGCGATGAAATCAAACTGGGAGTAATGAAATGAAAACATCACAAAGTAAGTGTCAGGGTGTGTGGGAAGAACTGGTCATGTGGGCATGGTAAATGGGCATCTAATTTAGTTAAATGAAAGGAACTAAAATTTACAGAGCTCTTGCTATTTTTCCAGCCATTCTTCTAAGTGCTCTACATACACTCTCCCAGAGGTACATTTTCTTAATAATTCCCATTTTACAGATGGGGACTTTGACGCTTAGAGAGGATAAGACATGCTCAAGGTCACAGAGGAGGGATGTGTTAGAGCCAGGATTGCAGCCCAGGTCTGTTTGATTCAAAAGTCTGACCTCTGAATTATAACAGGCTTCTACTGATCATTATTATTTGTGTGGTGTTTGAGGATTTCCAATCACATATTCATACACGATCTCACTTTCTATGCAATCAAATTTAAATTATATTGTCTGTATATGTACATATTTATATATAAATGTATTTTTTGTGTATAATAATAATTACCATTTGATTTTTCTTAATTTGTTTAACTTTTTTGATCTTAGTTTCATGGTATATCACAAAGTGGAAAGGGACACTTTCATTTGCATCCTGCTGATGACAAGGTTCTGTTGATGACAGTGTGGGACTGTTTTGAGATCCGATTAAAAGTGCCATAGCCCGGTCCTGTTTTTTCACTACCTAGTAATTTTGCTGTGACATGTTTCCACTCATTAGCTGATAAATGGGCTTCTTTTATTATAATCTTGCCTGATGGCAAAAATGTTTCCCTTTTGGATGCACTGATCTCCATCATTTAAGCTGCCTTAGTAGAAGCAACAAATAATACTTTTTTCACTTTTTGTTGTTGAGTTCAGCCTCAGCACATAACCATAGCTAAGAAATGGGGACAAACGAGTCCCTCTATCCATCTTTAGTTAACTGGTGTTCAGATAAGAGAGCAATTCAATTACATTTGAAACAAATCTGGTCTTTGAGGTAAAGCTCAAGATAGAGAAGCCAAGTGAACTAAGTAAAAAGGGAAAGTTTCTGTATGTGCAATTCTGTGTGCATGTGTCTATTTACAAAGTGATGCTGATTAGTCTTCAACCTTTTTAGGTAATATCTCCCCTGTTCCAGGCATGAAATGAAGGTAATCACAATCCTAAAATTATAATGTGTCATATCTTCTGACTATGATTTTTTCTTTCTTATTAGTATTACAATTGAAGTGTCTTATAATTGATAGGGTCATAGAGCCAATGAAACACAGAAGTATGCTATTCATTTATTTTAGCCAAGAGTTACCAGTGTTTTTACTGTGTACCAGGACAGCATTAGCTCCGGGGAAAAGACACAGTTCCTAAAGTTGCTCATATTCTGGTGGGAAATATAGTTAGGTAAAGAGGCAGTATCAATGCAGAGAAGGCTTATGGGTTAACATTAGATGCCACAGGAGCACTTGAAAGAGTCTCCCATCTTAGCCTTGGAAAGACAGAGGAGGCTGAAATATATGGAGGAGAATGGATTTCTTTCTTATCTACCCTAATATATAAAAACCCTGTGTCCATCACAATCAGAGGATCGATCAACCAGAAGTCAGTCCTGCAGTCAGCACTGGGTTGCTGTGGAACAGCCTGCAGGCCCGGTGACCTAGCACTCACTGCTGACAGGGCTGCGAATCAGGCCTGGAGAGAGGCCTGAAGAGAGAAGCATGGTCTAATCAGTAGCCTCTGTGGCAGCTGTTCATCAGCACTTGCTTCTCTCTTTCTCTCCAGGCCTGCTGCTGATCAACTCTGTCTTTCTAATCAGGCCCTATTGATAGGCCCAGAGATGCTGACTGGCATAGAAACTGACCATTAAGGATCAAATCTGGGTCAAGTGTGAGGAGCCAATAGCTGCCTAAGAGGCAGAGCTTTTGATGCTGACTGGCATAGAAACCAAACCAATCAGAACCAAATCTGGGTGAACTCTGAGGAACCAATGGCTGCACAAGAGGTGGAACTTTTGACACTGACTGGCATAGAAACCAACCAATCAGAATCAAATTGGCCAGCAGAAGAGGGCAGTTGGGAGCTAGATCAGGTCTGCAGGGGAGGGCAGTTAGGGGTGATCAGGCCTGCAGGGGAGGGTAGTTGGGGCAAGATCAGACAGGTAGGGGAGGACAGTTGGGGAGCAGTTAGGTGTTAATTAGACTAGCAGGGGAGCAGTTAGCAGGTGATTAGGCAGGCAGGCAAATGATTAGGAGCCAGCAGTCCCGGCTTGTGAGAGGGATGTCTGACTGCCGGTTTAGGCCCAATCCCACAGGATTCTATGGCAGTCAAGATCTCTGGGCCAATCAATGTTTCCCTGTGGTATCTGGCCTAAACCAGCAGTCAGACATCCCCTGAGAGGTCCCAGATTGGAGAGGGTGCAGGCTGGGTTGAGGGATCCCCTCTCCCCCAGTGCACGAATTTCATGCACCAGACCTCTAGTCCTATCTAATAGAGAGTAATATGCAAATCAACCATCACTGCTACACCCACAAGCCATGCCCACCAGCCAATCATGAGCGAATATGTAAATTAACCCACAGAGCAAAGAGGAGGCTTGGGTTTCCTTGGTGATAGAGGAAGCTAAGCTTTCTATACATCTTGGTGGGCCCAGGCCTCCACTCAAGGCTATAAAGTTTCAATTGAAGAAGGTAAATAAATCCCAGATACCAGGGCCACCACTTGGGTCACTGGGGGGTTTGGCTAGCCTGCAAACCACCACAGGTCCCTCACCCAGGCTGCCCCGTGCCCCAAGGGAACCTCCTCCCTGATCTGGGACACCCTTCAGGGCAAACCAGCTGACCCCCACCTGTGCACCAGGCCTCTACCTTACTAATAAAATAGTGATATGCAAATTGACCATAACTTCAACACACAAGATGGCTGCTCCCATGTGGATATAAGATGGCCAGCAGGGGAGGGCAGTTGGGAAGAACCAGGCCTGTAAGGGAG